GGAGAGGAGGAGGAGGAGGAGGCAGGCTGAGGCTGAGGCTGTGACTGCGACTGCCGTTGCCGCTGCGACTGTCATCGCGAATGCGACTACGACTGCGAGAACAGCAGAATTCGACAACTGGATTTTCATCTGAATCTTAAGGGGAATGCTTTCAGATATGCTTCTACACATCGCTGTTAGGTTGCTTTGCCGGGATAATTTTTTTTTGTTGTTCCGTCAGGGATGGCCCAGGGATGGCGGGGGGGTTTGTCATGGCCCCGGGTTTGTCGCTGGTCGGGTGTGTGAGCGTGTGTATATTGATAAAGAGCGCTGACGAATGCCTCCCCGAAGGAGAGAGGAAACATAGAAGGGGAAACGCTCTAGACCACCTCCGTCACAGGGGCTGGTGCAATTTGAGCATGCCAGGTGCCCCTGTGGCAAGCGACGGTGGGCGGCGACTTTGGTGGCCCATCCGGCCACCGTGCCTGGGTCGTCTCTCGGGAGGCCTCTCTTGGAGGGTCTCTTGGGGGCTTGTTGAAGGCCACTGGGGGCCGCTTGCAAGCCCATTGGGGGCCGTTTGGAAATTTCTTGGGGCCTCTGGAAGGGAGCTTCATTGAGCCTCTTGGGGACCTCCTGGAGACCTCTTGCCTCTTGGAGGTATCTCGGGGGCCACCCAGGGGCCTCTTGGATACCTCTGGGGGCTTCTTGGGGGCGCCTTGGGCGTGTGCTGGCGGTCTCGGGGGCCACCTTGGGGTGGAGGGCTCCGAAAGCAGTTCGGGCCCCCGTTGGGGCCTTTTTGGGGGCCTCTTGGCCTCCTCTCGCTCGGGTGCCATCTGCCGTCTGGGGCCGCCCTGGATTGTCTCAGCACCGAACAACACAGAGTGCCAACATCGTACCGTCATCACAGGCTTCTCAAGGACTTCGGTCTGCTGGGCGGGCCCCGCGGTGCTTCCAGGGCAGCCCACGGCCCCCCCAAGACCTCCGGCAGGGAGCCCCGGGGACCGACCTCGGGCTCCCTTGGAGGTGGAGGCCTCCGGCCGCGCTCCCGAGGTCTCTCCGGGACGCTCCCGCGGGAGCCGTTGGGGAGGAAGGTTGGCGCCCGCGAGGGCGCCCGAAGGAGTGCCGTGGGGAGCGCTGGCGGTCGGGGGCCCAGGCCCCTCTGTCGGAGCACTCGCGCGATGCAATTCATCTTGAGGATTCTCAGAGCGTGAGTTACCTACCCCGCTTTGGCTTCCAGGCAAAACCAAGTCATACCACGCGCCTCCTCGTCAAGCGGCCTGACCAGTACAGGCCATAGTTTGGCATCGCTTGGTATCTCTTGGAAGCGAGGGTGGTCAAAAGCGAGGTAGGTTTGTTTGCCCCCTAGATTCTGAGGCCCTGGTACACTCGACTCAGTGCCGACGGCATGGTTGTGGGCTTTGACAAGCCGGGGGCAATCTGAACGCGTCGGGGTACATGTAAGCTGCACGCGGCGGGACACCGCTCTGAAGGACGGGTGCGGATATGCCAAGTGCAAGCGCCGTGCACACCGATTGCAACATGAGCACAGGCCTGTCCTGTAAATATTATGTGCGTGCACTGCGATGTGAACACAATGCCGCGATGTGGTGCTAGGTGAATGCGATGTCATGGATACATTGTGCACGGCATCCAATGGTATGATGTGGTGCAGGCTGTAGACTCCCTGGCATGCAAAGTAATGCTACGCAAGGCGACACTTCATCATGCAATGGTGTTACTTGAATTTGTGATCGTTTGTCATGCTGACTGAGCGAAAGCAGCTCTCACCCAATGTGATGAATTGCTCTGATATGTTGTATTTGCGGTCGCAGCGAACTGATGGTCCCTGGGAAATGG